TTGAAGTACCTAATAATAACAAGTGGCTTGATTCTAGTGCAACTACTCATGTGTCACATATTTTGTAGGGATTCCTTTCAATCCAAATCATAAGAGAAAATGGAAATTTTCTCTTTATGGGAAATAGAATGAAACCAAGGATAAAGGGCATTAGGACATATAGATTGATCTTAGATATTGGACGCCATATAGATTTGGAAGAATGTCTCTACGTACCTGGATATTCTAGAAATTTAGTTTTTGTTGCAAAGTTGGATATTAGGATTTCATTTCAAGATTGGACACTATGTATTTTCTTTGTTTAAAGACATGTGTTGTTATGGATCTGGTACTTTAATTGATGGTTTATATTGTTCCAATCTTGATGTTAAGTTTATGGAATCCTTGTTTAATGTTGATTATGTTATTGGTAGTAAGCATGATGTGCATGATAATAATTCTGCTTATTTGTGGCATAAAAGATTACGTCACATATCCAAGGAAAGAATAACGAGATTAATGCAAAATGATATTTTACCTCAATTGGATTTTGGTGACTGGGATGTATGTTTGGATTGTATTAAAGGAAAGAAAACTAAACAAATATCCAAGAATTCTGCTACGAGAAGTAATGAACTTTTAGGATTAATACACACTGATATTTGTGGGTCTTTGTGGATGCATGTCTTAAAGACTGTGGTATATTTTCTTAACAGGATTCCTAGTAAGACAGTTTCTAAAACTCCTTATGAACTGTGGATAGGAGGAAAACCCAAATTAAAACATCTATTTGGGGTTGTCCAGCATAAGTAAAAGTGTATAATCCACATCAAAAGAAGCTTCATGCAAGAACTGTTAGTAGTTTCTTCATTGGTTATCCTGAAGAGTCTAAAGGATACAAATTCTATTGTCCTGACCATAGTTCAAGAATAGTTGAGTATGGTAATACTCAGTTCTTTGAAAATGACCAATCTAGTGGGAGTGAGAAATCACTAAAGGTGGATATTGTAGAAACTCATGGTGAATCTCCTTCACCTAATGCTTCTTGTAAGGATATTATTCTTCTATTTGTGTTACGGTCAAATAAAAAGAAGAGACAACAAAATAGTATTCAAAACCCACAAGATGAGCATATGGTTGATGAACCAACAAACAATGTGCAAGTCACTAATGAACAACTGATAGAAGAGAATCACCAAGAAGGTATGAAAGGCAAAGAAGACCATCTATTTCAAGTAATTTATTGTATATTCAATTGAACATGAATGTGAATTGAATGTTGATGATGATTCAGTCTTAATTAAATAAGCCATGGAAAGTGACAATTAAAAAAAGTGGTTGAATTCTATGAAAGAAGAGTTGAAATCAATGGATGATAATAAAGTATGGGATCTACTTGAATTGCCTAAAGATTAAAAAAAAAGTTGATTGTAAATGGGTCTTTAAGATAAAACGTGACTCAAACGACAATATTGAAAGGTATCAAGCTAGATTAGTTGACAAATGTTTCACTCAAAAGGATGACATTAACAACAATGAGACCTTCTCTCTTGTTTCTAAAAAGGACTCTTTGATAATTGTTTTGACTTTAGTGGCTCATTATGATATAGAGATTCACCAAATGGATGTAAAGATCGTCATTCTAAATGGTGAATTAAAGGAAGAAATTTATATGGACAACTTGAAGGTTTTGTTAAAATAGGAAAGGAAAACATGGTGTGTAAGTTAAAGAAGTCAATATATGGACTAAAACAGGCTTCTAGACAATGGTATTTCAAGTTTAATGATACCATCACGTCATATGATTTTGTAGAAAATACTATTGATCGGTGTATCTACATGAAGGTCAGTGAGAGCAAGTTTGTAATTTTAGTCCTATATGTTGATGATATTCTTTTTGCTACTAATAATGTTGTTATATTACATGATATCAAGAAGTTTCTCTCTAATAACTTTGAAATGGAAAATATGGGTGAGGCATCCTATGTGGTAGGAATAGAAATATTCCGTAACAAATCACAAGGATTGTTGGGATTGTCTCAGAAATCATATATTAGCAAGGTATTAGAGGGATTCAAAATGGAAAAGTGCTTTACAAGGATTGTTCCAATACAAAAGGGTAACAAGTTTAATCAAATGCAATGTCCCAGAAATGAATTGGAACGTAATGAGATGAAATTTATTCCTTATACATTAGTGGTTGAGAGTTTGATGTATGCTCAAACATGTACTCGGCCAGACATTCATCTTTGTCGTAGGGATGTTAGGTTGATATCAAAGCAATCCTAGAATAGAATACTAGAAAGGTGCAAAGAAAGTTCATAGGTATTTATAAGGCATGAAGGATTACATGCTCATGTATAGAAGGTTATATCACCTTGAAATGACTAGCTATTTGGAATCAGATTTTGCTAGATGTGTGGACTCAAGAAAATCCACATTTGGATATATCTTTCTTTTGGTTGGAGGAAGGGTATCATGGAAAAGTGCAAAGCAATATGTGATTGCAACTTCTACCATAGAAGTCAAATTTATGATATGCTTTGAGGCTACAATTCAAGCATTATGGTTTGTGGAACTTCACTATGGAATTTGATATTATTGATAGTATAGTCAGATCAATGAGGATTTATTGTGATAATTCGGCAGTTGTTTTCTTTTTAAAGAATGATAAATATTCGAAAGGAGCAAATCACATAGATTTGAAGTATCTATAAGTTAAAGAGGAAGTACAGAAGTAAAGGGTGACAATTGAGCATATTGGTATAAACTTAATGATAGTGAGTCCGTTAACTAAAGGTTTACCACCCAAGATATTCACTGGTCATGTTGAAAGAATGGGTATAATGAATACGTCCTTATTAACAATGTAGTTTGGTGTGTGTGTGTGTGTGTATATATATATAATAGTTATAATGCTTGTACTGTCTGACACTTGTGATTTCTATTAGAGATGTTTCTATTTGTTGTGTCCTTCACATTACTTGGTATAAAATTGTTTTATTTAGTGAAATGATAGAATGTATCCTTTGAAAGGAGATTAGAGATATATAACAGTTTTATTAAAGTTAAGTTAGATGATTTATGATACATTGAAGGAATCTTGTCATTGGATAATTTACAACCATTATGATCCAATCTTCTAGCTTAAGTCAATAGATGATAATGACTTGTTAAGTTCAATGTATAGTGTGCACTTAAAATTTAATGTTGAATCTTCAAGTCATTACATAAGTCAAGTGAGAGAATGTTAAATTATTTTAATATAATATTGGCTCATATTTATAGAATAACTGTAATGTAAAAATTTCTAATATGATGATTATTAGATTATAAATATATTAAAAGTGATGAGAACTATTTTAGAGTTATTAAAGTTAATTCCCTCTCTTCTCACTTCATTAAGAGTATTATGGTATTTTAATAAATCTTTTAAAATATTACCTAGAAGTTAGAATACAATTTCTTATGTGGAAAATTAAAAGTTACGTTCTTAAATAATATAAGATAAGAGACTTTGATAGAAGAAGGATTGTCGTGGACAAATTCTATATCATCAAGAAAATCATAAAAAGAAGAAAGAAAAAGAAAAATATCTATAAAGAGATCTTTTACAATAAATTTAGACAAGTTCTTGAACACTTCTAATAATATATTTGTGATAATCATGTATCTTAAGATTATAAAATAGAATAGTTTCTTGAATCAAAATATTTGAATCTACAAATTAATAATTTTTTATTCATTTTAGTTGTTAGTAAGTATAAAAGTTATTGTGTAAAAAAAAAATACAATATAATAAATTTAAGCAATAGAAGATTTTTCTTTTTGAAGATGGACAAATAGAAAAAAATTGACATATTATAAATGATAAATTATATTATAAAATATTATTAAAAGATAAAATGATTAATTTTTTAAGTAATTATCCATGTATAGCATGTGAAATTGATAACACTCATTGTAAAAACAATGTAGAATAGATCTTGTAAAAGATACTGTGAATTTTTGTAAATTGTACAATGATATTGAGTTGATATTCCTACTTTAACTTTATATTATCATATATTCCTTATATTTAAAAATACCATGCTTCACATGAGTGGAAAAAACTAGTAGATATTCAACTACGCGTTAGGAAAATACTACACAATATACCTACTAAAAATTGTTCAACGATAAGAAGATTTTTTTTTTCTTCAATAATATCTTAACTTTGAGTTACAGATAACAAAAATTAAGAAAAATTGTTATGAAAAGTCCACTTGATTAGGATTAGTCATAGTTTAATGTAAATTTTAATTAGATAAGGATTTGACAGAATGCCTCTCTCCTCTCTCTCTCTCTCTCTCTCTATATATATATATATATATATATTTCTTTGAACTGTTATAAAATATTTAAATCTGTGCAAGATCACAGCAAATAATTTTTAATCGAGTTTCAATTTAATAAATGTAACTTAACAGTTCACTGTACACAACTTAATATATTTTTATTTATTCTTCTAAAGGTCCTAGTGTCGTACACCTAGGGTTTAGAACGGGAAAAAAATATTGATCCTGTATACTTGGACATAAGTGCTGGCTGGAAACAGTAAATAAAGACCAAAATCAATGATCATCTAATAAGAACTTGGTAAAAAAACCAAACACAAATTTGGAAATGAAAAATGTTAATTTTAGACTCTATTTTGAGGGGATCAAGAAGTGAAAGAAAGAGAGAAATAAACAATTACAAAATTGAAAAGAAAAATATAATATGATAAAAAGCTGAGTAAAAAAAGAAAATACAATCAAACTACTATGGGAACATATATAAATATTATTCTTGGTTTGAAAATAATGTAACCCTCAAGATCCAACCAATACAACCCCAAAACCAGTCTCTTCATGTATAAATACCCTTGTTTTCCATTCGAACTGCACTTGCTCTGTAAGACTCTGCCTCCTCTGTCTCTCTTTGCTTCTCTCTCCATTTTCCTCTCTCTCTCTCTCTCTTCTCTCCATTCAGCCACTACCATGGGTGCAGCTGAAGTAATGCCTGAGAACCCTATGCAAGCAGTTCCTATCCTTTCAAGAGAGAGCAGTTTTTCATCTTCACCTAGAAGGTACTATTGTCAATTTAGAGAATAAAATTACACCTTTCACTCTGTGCCTTTTTAGTTTTGTTTTCTTACATAAGTATAAACAAACCACCCAGATGCAGCTCAAAATTCTAACGTGTTTTTGGCTGAAAATAATATTTTGAGAGGCACTTTGAAAACAAATAATCCACAATCTTCAATTTTTTTCTGATTTCCACCAGAATGAAGCAAAACCATAGCATCCCAAGAAGCAAAACACACTACCTTTTTCGTAAGTTTACCTATAAACAATCTGAACATTTTGTAGCCCAGTCTAATAGTTAGTTAGTGCACATTACATTGTACAATTTACATATCTCAAAGAGTTAACAAGCCATATAGACCATAACATTTTCTTTTCTGAATAATCTATGTAATTAGAATATTTTTTAATGAAAAATCTGAAGTATTTTTACAAGTTTTAGTTCTTTAGACAATCAATAAATCTGCTTTTCAATTTAAACTGTGTGTTCTTTTCCAAGAATGTGTTATCTGGGAATCATCGTTTTTAATGATTGGAAGATCATTCGTAGTGAAATTTGTAAATGTACTTTGAAGGAAAAAGCTATGAACTTGATCAATTTTTTGAAGAAACTGTTGATACGATGATAAGCTGTTTGATATTGTGTGCCATAGGTTGGAAGGCAAGGTTGCTATCGTAACAGGGGGTGCGAGAGGGATTGGTGAAGCAACGGTGAGAGTGTTCGTGAAGAACGGTGCAAGGGTAGTAATTGCGGATGTTGAGGATGCAGTTGGCACAATGCTGGCGGAGACCTTGGCCCCTGCAGCCACGTACGTGCACTGCGACGTTAGCGTGGAAGAAGAGGTTGAGAATTTGGTGAGTTCAACAGTTTCTCGCTACGGCCAAGTGGACATTATGTTCAACAACGCAGGGGTGTTGGGGAACCAGTCCAAGAACAAAAGCATTGTGAACTTTGACCCCAACGAGTTCGACCGTGTAATGCAAGTGAACGTGAAGGGCATGGCCTTGGGGATCAAGCACGCTGCAAGGGCCATGATTCCTAAGGGCATTGGGTGCATCATTTCCACTGCCAGTGTTGCTGGGGTCATGGGGGGACTTGGCCCACATGCTTACACTGCCTCAAAGCATGCCATTGTGGGGCTCACTAAGAACACTGCTTGTGAGTTGGGAAGGTATGGAATAAGGGTCAATTGTATTTCACCCTTTGGGGTGGCCACCAACATGCTTGTGAATGCTTGGAGAAGTCGTGGTTGTGATGAGGAAGAGGGTGATGATGAGGGTATCAATTTTGGGTTGCCCTTTCAAGAGGAGGTTGAGAAAATGGAGGGGTTTGTAAGAGGGCTTGCCAACTTGAAAGGAGCAACTCTAAGAGCCAAAGATATTGCTGAGGCTGCACTCTATCTTGCTAGTGATGAATCCAAGTATGTCAGTGGTCATAATCTTGTTGTGGATGGTGGAATCACCTCTTCAAGAAATTGCATTGGTTTGTAGCATTTTGTGTTTACCATCTCTCGCTTTTTTTCTTAATGTAGGACCCACCGGTTTGAAAAATTAGTCATGTAAATGTAATTGTAATTGTAGTTATTTATTTTTTTACTCTACTTCTTTAATTATCAATAAAGTAGTGCAAGTGTGAATCAAAGAAGTCTCACCCAAATTACTCAAAAGAAACAAGTTGAATAAATCATAAGTGAAGGTGAGAAAAGTCTACGCATCTAATATCTTATAATGTTTTTTTTTTTCCTTTTAGTATTTTTTAACAAATCAAGAGTAAATCGTTAATTTAGTCTGCATATATGTATTTACTATTTCTTGTTAAAAACAATCAATTTAAGAATTTAGTTGTTTTAATGGTGTATTGTTTTTTTTCTTCTTTTAACCATGCTTCTAAACTCTAATATAATATGATCGGATATAATCACATGATAGCATGATTCTGCATTGTCGTATGAAGAAGAGGCATTATAGATTAATCTTCAGATTGTACGAATCATGTGGGAAGTACATATTCTTCTACTAAAGTAGTATATAAGAAAAACAAGGAAATGTTTCCTAAATAATACTAGAAAATAAATATTACTATTTTTTGTCAGTTCATAAATATTAATAAATAAATAAATAAAATTCTTTTTAAAATACTTATTGTCTTTCACATATATTTTTATATATTATCATATTATATATATATATATATATATATATATATATATATAGAGAGAGAGAGAGAGAGAGAGAGAGAGAGAGAGATAATATAGAGAGATTAAATTCTACTTCAGTGATAACATATACATATCTATTTGAAAAAGAGAGATGGAAGTTACTTTTAAAAACATAATTTTAATTTATTTAAAATTTATAATTAAACTGAAATCTTCATATATTTTTAAAGACTAAATTGATGATCATTATAATTTTTAAGAATTTTTTTTTGTGGTTTAGAGAATTTGATAGATTAATATCAATAAGATTTTTTTATTCAAATATGTTTTTTATTTTTTAAAAAAATCAAGATTTAACTTTATTTAAAATGTTTAAATTCAGTTTAGATAAACATCATACTTATGTAAAACTTAATACTACTAATAATTTGTTTAAATTATTTATTTTAAACTAATAAGTAGTATTAAAAGGTGGTGTTAAAAGGAGAAGAGAAAGAAATGAGAGAAATTAATAAGAGTTTGTAATTCGTTATATGCTAAGTGGCAAAATTCTTCTAAAAATGTGTGAAACCCATGTTATAGAACTTTCACGTTTGAATGAAATATGTGGACCTATGTATTGTTAATTTTATGCTACTATTCTTGATTCTTTGTGCTGTTCATCTCATAATTAGTTTTAATTTCAATATATATAATTGATTGTATTTTGTCATATCATGCATCCAATGCTAGAAAAATCCTTCCTATAGCTGTTGAAATTGAAAGCTGCATAGGTTTTTTCAAACACATGGTCCACAATATGCTAATTTAATTGATTATATGAATACAACGTGGAGTTATGTATAAAAAAAATATGTTGCAAATGATCTTTTAGTAAAAGAAAAAAAAAGTTTAATCTTTAAACCAAATTATCTATTTTATTTTACTTTTACAAAAAGTAAGGCTTGATAGTTGTTCAAGAAATTAGAAAAAAAAAAAAACTTTTCTTATAGTTAAAGTATGAGATAAGTAAATAAAGAAAGAGAATAATTTTTCTTGTTGTTCTTATACATTTTATAAATTTAGCTTTAATTTTTATATTTTATACAATATATTTAGTATTTTATATATAAATTTAACATTGGTAATAGTTTTTATTATTATAAAATGTATAAAGTGAACAAATGATTAAATTTAACTTTTTAAAGTTTAAGAATCAATTAATCAATTTTTAAAATATTAAGATGAAAATCAAATTATATTAAAAATATAAAGACTAAATAAAAGTAACAAATTTCTGAATACAAGACCAACTAGTGGGTGAATAAATAATAGCATGCGCCAAGAAGAATAAAAAACTATGTTTGAGTTTGAAAATGATAGACTTGTGAAAATAATTAATACATAGACATTTCCCTCGGTTATGTCAAATTATATGTATAAAAAGAAGGTAATTTCTCACAACTTTCCTTAATTGGTTGAATCTAGGTATTATTCAAAATTTCAAGACCATGCCACCATCTGGTTCATATGGGGTCAAACATTTACTAGTATTATTTTTTTGTTCTTTATAGATCCTGGTCCTGGTTAACGTTGAAAATAAGCTGCAGAGAGAAATAATTGATGAAGTATCAAGTGGATGAATCTCTTGTCTGCTTCCAAAGAAATAAAGTTGATGAATATTGAATCAGCAATTGAGTCACATTAACATGGTTTCATTGTATCTATGAGCAACTTTAAACGAGAAATGGATATTCGATTGTGAATCTATGAATGGTTTAAAAGTAGAAAAAATTGTTTAAAATTAAAAAAATTAGTGAAATAAACAATTCTGAGAAAATTTTAAATAATTAAACTGTGAAATTCATAATAAAATATTTAATTTTATTTTTAAGTAATTCTGGTTAAAAACATCCTAAAATATGCTTTTAATAGTATCAGTTTAACTAAAAGTTAAGCCTATAAGCAGACAGCATTAATTAGCTAGCCACCCACTAATACCATTCTACTTTTTTCATTAGGAAAATATTCTGAAGATCAGGAACAAGATTACATATAATGTTGAAGATACACAAGATGTTAAGCTATTGAAATGAAATAAAATATAGGTGTAAATGGCCTTGTGATATTGTGTATTTTAACTAAAATTCAATTTTTATTATGTAATACTACTTTTATATAAAATTATTCAGGTTTTAGCTTCATTTTGTTAAATTAACTAATATTTAACAAATTTCAAGTCTTATTAATTAATTTTTAAATATTTTTATTTAAAATAAATGAAGCTTATTTAAACACCTCAACAAAAAATAAGTTACATTTACATCTTACAAGAAATGAGGATATTTTAAAACATAAATAGTCTTGGAAGGCGTGCAGGAAAAGCTAGCCTTAAGGTTGAAATTAGTTTTCATTGAAAAATAGTATAAAGATATTTATGGTATACTACACCTAAATTTAGTGAAATTCTTATTTAAAGAAAAATAAATAAATCCAAAGATTATGAACAGCTTTGTGTAATCTTATACATAATTGAAAAAATAAAAAATATTTATTATTATAAAAATACAATTTACTTAAAATAAGATAAACTTATTGAAAAAGTTTAATTATTAACTAATTCTATAACATTTTAAATAAGACTCTTAAAGCAGTTATTACAAAAAAGATTGTCTTTCAACCATATAATAATGCACCATTAATAAAGCCTTTTTTCTAATCAATCATTACTATCTTACATTCTTGCAATGGGACCTTTGTATTTTAACCTTTGAAGATCCAATTTGGTATCTATCTAGCCTGTCATTGGGGATGACATTGATCCTGGACAAAGGTTGTCATGGATCTCATGAATCTCATGCCATAGGTAAACAAAAGTCATTGATAGTTGACAAATAGAAGAAGAACAAGAAGGAAAAAAAAATAAATTTTAAGACAGCCATAAAATGGTCGACAAAGAGGATGAGTTGGAGGCATGAACTTGCGACCAATTTAAAAAATATCAGTTCAAGATCTTGAGCTAGCAATTTCTGACCGTATCTTGTTTTGGACCACACTATCTAGCTTAAAGGAACTATCAACTCCATCAACATTCAAAAGCCAAGTTGCTATCCAAATTTAGTAACTAAGAAAGATCGTCTCTAATAATAAGATATCTGTAGCAAATACATTCTTACTGTGATACCATTGTGAACTTGGTATATTCTGGTATTTTTATTGATAAAGTAAGACATAGCTTATTAAATTGATGTCTAAGAACATGTTGAACGAGTACGTAATTTAATTATTATAATTAGTTTGTGGAAGAAATGTGATATAAGTCATCATTTCATCAGAAGATATTTTAATTAACAATCAAAGAAGTGCCTTTGATGAATATTTTTAATAATGAAATGAAAAAGTTGGTAGGTTAGGAGAATACTTACATTCTTTAACTATCCCTTCTCATAAACCTATGGACATTAATTTCTCTCTTTTTTATTTTAAGAGTAAGCAGTATATAATATAGGATATTACATTTTTCATGTTCTCAAAATTTTCGATTTTTTTGAAAGGAAAAATGGTGGTAGTTTAATTTATTTTTGGGAAAAGAAGAATGTACATTCTATTTTGGGATATATGAGGTACAAGAAAAAAAAAACGTAGAAAGAATGTAATATGACTTGTTTTCTTCATAAAATTTTAAAATGAAAATTTAGACTCTCTCTCTTCTTCCAAAAGACAAAGAGAACACGACAACTATTTTAGGTTTTTAAAGTAAATATGTTTTTTCTCAAGTAAATATATTTTTTCACTTCTTAATTCTCCAAATACATTGGTAATAAAAAAGATTGGGAAAAAAATAATAATAATTGAAAGATAAAGTGCATGTATAGTTGTCGTTACTTTACCCACTACTATTTTTAAGATGCGGTGTATTGAGAAGGTTAAAAAATAAGTGTGATAAATTTTATTTACATTAATTAATCTAAAATATATGAAAAACTATTTTAACACACGTTTTGTAAACAACTGATTTTAATATTATAATACTAATTTTAAAATATTTTTATTTTTAGTAAATTATTATTATTATTATTATTATTATTATTATATTAATAAAAATGGGTTAGAGGGAGAGTTATTTGTCGTGAAGAGTGTCAATATTCACCATTGAAATATATATATATATATATATATATATATATATATATAATATAAATATAAATTTTAAAATATCAAGAATATGTTCAAAATAATATTTGGTTGTAGGTTTAAAATAAAAATAAAAAAGCTATGATAAATTGTAGTTTCTTCAATTTAATTTTAATTTTAAAGGATTAAATAACTTTTTAGTCAGTATAATTTCTTATA